CTTTTAAGTTTAAGTTAATATATTTATATTTGTAGTTAAAAAGAACTAAAAGGATGAGAACACAAGCTGGAAATAAATCCATGGTCTGGCAAAGCTACTACAGCTTGGCTGCAGGTTTATCTTCATGTGTCCTCAAGGAAAGAGGAGACCCCAGCACTATAATACTTGTCTGTGTAGTTAGTCCTTCCTGTGTCATACTTCTATCATCACCTGATATAATCTTAATCTATATATTTTTTTCTTTTTAAATGCATCTCTGAGTGTGAAAATAGTGCTGGGACACTGAAGCTGTACAAACTATTGCTTACTAGAAGCGTTCAGATTTGATTCAGTCTGGATTCTGTTTGGTTTGGTAGGGATCTTAGAAAGCACCATGACTGTGAGTGAAGTGATATTTGCCCAGAATGTAGAGAGCTTGCTTTCAAAGAGATGCAATTATGTGCAAAACAAATCTGGTCTTCCTTTCATTTTACTTTAGTTTTTTTACCATTACATTGCTTGCCTGTTTAACTCTGAAACATACTTGTACCTACTTTCAGTTTTTCTTCATTTTGTTTTGCACTGTTTTTTGTGTAAACTGCTTGTCTCACCTACTGTCTATTTGGCCTTAAACTTGGGTTTAAACTGAATATTTTTCTTGCTAGTACAGGTCTTTCTAGCAGCATACATTGTGACCTTCTGTTTTAGCTAGAACACAATCCTTAGCACCTTGCACTTAACTTGAGGAGAGGGTTGGAGAAAGTGCTTTTACCAGTCAAAGTATGTATGTCTGAATATGAATTTGTATTTTAAATTGCTCTCCAGGCTAGACTAGTATGAAATAAAAAGCACATTTAACATACCTTTTAAATATGTATCTTGTAATACAACTTCATTACAGAGTTTAACCCTCAAAATAGTTGACTTGGTTTCTTCCTCCCATCCTCTATTGAGAATTAGGGTCAAGTAACTCCAGAGAGCAAGGACTGCTTCTTAAACAGCATATGACTTCGCTATTACTGTTCCACATCTCATGTTCAGCAGTACTGTCTTGAGAGCAGGAGTGTTTAAGAAAGGCAAGGCCTCTAGTTAATCCAGACACAGATGGCTGAGATTGTCTGTCTGTAGTTGTAATTATGGTCTTTGATTTGTTTGGAAGGACTTTAGGTCTTTGTTTGAAAGGTTGATGTGGAAAACTTGTAACAATGTTAGTGTAGTCTTGAACATCCTGTGTTTGAGGAATATGCTGGTTATTGTAGAGTATGGGAATGTCTTTGGATTTATTTTAAATACAAAAGGATAATCACTTCTACATGTTTAATTATCACCTGTGACCTTCTTCAGAAGGAACTGGAAAGAAGCTTTCTCTAATCTTGTTTGCATGTTGTTCTGCATTCAGTGGAATACAGATCCAAAAATACAATCCCCATTGAAAAGATCCTACAACTGAATCTGCATGTGCACACAAGTGGTCAAAGTACCACTCGTGTATCATCAAGTACCATGGCTGAAAGATCATATATCAAATGTAGTGCTTGAATTGAGTAGTCTATTGCTTGTCAATAGGACGCTTAAAAAAGGGAGAGGCAGTCATCTGAACGTATCTGCTAAGAGTATGTATGACAGTATAGTTCTTTATAAAGTCAGACCTGCCCCAGAACTCTTCCAGTACCTGGCTTTTTGTTCTTTAGGGAACACTTGAAAAAGGAAAGGGTAGCATGCCAATAGAAGGGGAATTCATAGCCAGGAAAGATATGGTTTGGATGATGAGTGTATGGGGGGGGGGGGGGGGGGCTTTG